CACACACACACCCGCCTTACATCTTACGACGCCCGTTAGACTGATCATTAGCTAGTTTCACAAACATGGTGCTGATGCCAGCTGGTATCAAAGTCATGGCGCTGATCGCTAGCTAGTATCATAATCATGGCTCTAATCGTTACTAGTATCAAAGTCATAGCGCTGATCATTAGCTAGTTTTACAAATATGGTGCTGATGTTAGCTAGTATCAAAGTCATGGCGCTGATCGTTAGCTAGTATCACAAACACGGCGCTGATCGTTAGCTAGTATCACAAACACGGCGCTGATCGTTAGCTAGTATCACAAACATGGCGCTGATCGTTAGCTAGTATCACAAACATGGCGCTGATCGTTAGCTAATGTCACAATCATGACGTTTACAACAATAAAGTTTTAATCGACAATGAGATTTGGAGTCTAGGACAACTGTCGGTGGACAATTGCCAGTATAGGACAACTGTCGGTGGACAATTGCCGGTATAGGACAACTGCCAGTCAAAAGATTTGAGTAATCCAAATTCCAAAGAAAACGTAATACATGTACTTTAAAGGAGGATAGCCTGGATTTTAAACTAAAAGGACGTTTAAAATTTTCATTTCCATTTAGTAACTATTTGGTAATTAAATAGCCAATGTTATATAATAACACTAACTGTAAAATTAAAATTGAAAAGTCAATATCTTAAGTAGTGATTAAAATGTTACTAGCTAATGATATTACACTAATAACACTCACCATAGGCAATGTTTTAAATCATAATTGAAAGGTCAACACTTTGGTGTATTAGAACAATTGTTTAAGTGTAGTATGATTTGAGGTTAACAGACTTTAATGCTTGGGCAAATTTTACCTTGGAGTATTATTAAAATAACAACATAATTGGTTTATATAAAAAAGGCCAAAATAATCTTATTTATATCAGTCAAAAGTTAACCATAAAAAAGGGGGGTAGTTGTTCACAACAGTTGTCCTGCTCTCGGTAAAAAAACAAATGTAAAATTACAGTAAAATCATATTCAATTGACAGTATTGCAAAGTTAAACTGACAATAAAAATATCTAAAATGATGGTAACATCAATTTTAAAATCACATTTGTTTGTTTGAGAACACAGGAACATCGGGCTATCTCCTGTGTAAACCGAGGGGAATTGAACCCCGGACTTTAGCGTCGTAAGTCCGTAAACCTACCGCTATCCCTTAAAATCAAGTCCTTGCACTTGCTGCGTAGGACCCCAGAGTGAAATATTCGTCACGAAAGTTTGCTGACGATAATAAAAAAAGTTCCTCTCCTATTTTCACTTAACCATATAAGAACATTTACTCATGAAAACCGATATAAAACACCAGTGGTCCGATTACTTGTGAAATTCAAGTTTGTAAATTATTCTGGCAACACGTCCATTGTTAGAAAGCTTGTTTAATTGCCAACATAAGCAGTAAAGATATCAATTGTTTATTTTCTATGAACAACAGAGAGATAACAACTACTACGGTGGATCGATTAATACTGATTTTGGAGAATACTTTTCAAAGTGTAGTGTTTATCTAAAGACTGAAACGTATTTGATTATGAAAGTATTGCAAAACACATATTTCAAAAGACGGAGACAGGAATTCTAGTTCACATTGTAGAAACCTTACACCAATACGGTAAAACAGATACCATGAGATAACACTATTGATTAGAAACTTTATAATGATATTTTAATGCTGTTACATCGCTTTTGTTTTTAAATGTAGGATAAAAATAAATATCATACGATGAGGTTTTAAACAAAAATACTGTGTACATCACGTCTTTTTTTTGCTTAGGGTTAACGTGCCGGACTGCGATGGAGGGTCTGAGGCTCGAGTCTGTGATATGCCACTTTCATTTATGAGGCTTTTATTTAATTCCGCTGTTCCATTAAGAGTATCTATGTAGACAAACGGATTTTATTTTACTTCTCTTGCCAGTTACCATTTAGTTGATCAAATAAAGCACTGTAAAGTGTAAAGTACTTAAATAAGACAATGTTAGTAATATAGATAATAAATTACAAAGAAGACTGTCAAACTTTGTAACAAACCGTTGATAAACTTCTGTATCTAGATACGTATAATATCGACTACTATGATGAGATCGCACCCCTTGTATAGATTGAAAACACCAAATATTTTTAATGAATAGTTGAAATCTAATCTTCAAAATATGAAATACTACAATCTGTGGAAGAAGTATTGCTCAATTTTAAGTAATACAATACAGATGAGTCACTAGCTTATAATCTAACCTTCGATGCTGGTTTGTTTGTTTGTTTGGGACATTCGAGCAAAGCTACACAAGAGCTATCTACGATAACCTTCTTTCATTTTGAACTGAAGGAAGTCAGCTGGTCAACAGTACCCATCACCAGCACTTGGGTTATTCTAATTGAAGTGAAATTTGACCTTTACTCTTATAACGCACCCACTGCTGCACAGTACGGAGCATGGTTTTGCCCATTTTATATATTACAGAATGAAACACGTCTCTGATGATAACACTCGTGGCAAGGCTTGCTTGCTGGAACACGATTAATACACAATGCTTGCTTTGAGAAAAGTGTATTTACATAAAATAGTAACTGGGGATGAGCAATTGTGTTTCTTTCATGTGACTCACTGCATAAAATTACCATGATTTTGTCATTAATTTCAAAGTATAAGATGACAGAAACCTTGATCTGCCATAGAAATTTGTTACTTACTTGTCCAGCAGTATCGCAGAGCTGAATCCGAACAGGATAGTTATCCACTGTCACAACAGCTGCAACAATAACACATGTTTACACTGTTACTTACATCCACACTAAACACTATAACAAACTAACAATACTACATTCAACTCAGTTGAAACAAGAACATTTTCTTACAATTATTAGATATGTCAACACTAAATACTATAACAAACTAACAATTCAGGTGAAGAAGGTCTCTCAGTATAGAAGCCGAAACGTCGTCTACTTTTCAATAAGCAGACAGTGGCAGTACATTAAAGTTTTTAGAGTAGATGCGAGAAAGTTTCCTTGTTTCTGCTGAAGTAAATGTAGTCAATCGATATTGTCAATTTGTTTTAGTATCGATATATTTAGCAAGGAAGTATCCCTCTTTCAATCGTAGTGAGCGTGGGCAGTCAATATGGTTAATTCATTATAATTGTTATTTTTTTAATGGTTTTTATTGCTGGGTGGTTTCTTTTAATTTATTCGGTAAAAAAATAATAAAAAAATGCAGAGTCCTGTACACTTAAAAATAACCAAAACGTTTTATTTCTTCAACTACAAGTTGTAAAAGTTTTCTTAACTAACGTTTGCTGATCAGCCTAAGTAACAACAGACAATAATACAACAATTTCAATTAGTTGCTAATTTCTCGCGTTCTACGCAACGTACAGCGTGCTTCATTACTTCGTCGAGGGCATGAGTATAATATCCCAAACTGAACGATCAAGCAAGCGAGCTCAATAAAATAATAACTCATTATTTCATACTACATGGGTCCTACTAACAGACTCAAAAATTAATAATAATCGTTTTATACTGTTCGCACTGTTCTAAAAGTTTAGAGAAAATTCCAGACGTTAAGCCACGCCCGTCACGTTATGTCCGACCTTTCTCCGACCAACTAACAATACGAACCTCTAAAAACATCTCAATTAAAAGCATAGCCTATAACAGTATTTAGAGTCTGTTGAGGAAACAATGTAAGAAAGTATCTTGTTTCTAGTTGTGGTGAATGTAGTCTTAGTTTTGTATAGCATTTACTGTTGATATATTTAATAACACCAATAAAGTGTTCTTCTTTTAGTTATAGTGAATGCAATGATATAACTGAGTTGTTATTTCAGTGGTTCTTTAAGCAGAGTAGACATAGTAGATTTGAAAACCCTGTTTAATGTGTTTGTTCGTGGCTTTGTTCATGTAAAGCAGTCGATAGAGAGAATATTTCTGTTGAAGCTATTTAAAGCTATTATCTGTTTAATGTGTTTGTTCGTGGCTTTGTTGTTGTAAAACAGTTGATAGAGATAACATTTCTGTTGAAGCTGTCAAGAGCTAGTACCTGTTTAATGTGTCTGTTTGTGGTTTTGTTAATGTAAAGCAGTTGATAGAGAATATATTTCTGTTGAAGCTGAAAGAGCTAGTATCTGTTTAATGTGTCTGTTTGTGGTTTTGTTAATGTAAAGCAGTTGATAGAGAATATATTTCTGTTGAAGCTGAAAGAGCTAGTATCTGTTTAATGTGTCTGTTTGTGGTTTTGTTAATGTAAAGCAGTTGATAGAGAGAACATTTCTGTTGAAGCTGTAAAGAGCTAGTACCTGTTTAATGTGTCTGTTCGGAGTTTTGTTAATGTAAAGCAGTTGATAGAGAATATATTTCTGTTGAAGCTGAAAGAGCTAGTATCTGTTTAATGTGTTTGCTTGTGGCTTTGTTGATGTTAAAAAGAACATCGTACACCTATTTATGTGTGTTTCATTTATTTCTATAAGAAAGAACATGAGATAATGTACAGTTTTAGTTATATTACATGCAAATCACCACAAAAACTTAAAAAAGATATATTTTTCTCTCTGCCTTGGTGAATGTAGTCAAGCAGCGTTGCTAGTTTGCTAATACTAGCTCTGAATAGCTCCGACAAAAATGTTCTCTCTATCGGCTGTTCTATATAAACAAAGACACGAACAAACACATTAAACAGGTACTAGCTCTGAACAGCTCCAACAAAAATGTTCTCTCTATCGACTGCTTTACATGAACAAAGCCACGAACAAAAACATTAAACAGATACTAGCTCTGAACAGCTCCAACAAAAATGTTCCCTCTATCGACTGTTTTACATGAACAAAGCCATGAACAAAAACATTAAACAGGTACTAGCTCTGAACAGCTCCAACAAAAATGTTCTCTCTATCGAGTGTTTTACAACAACAAAGCCACGAACAAACACATTAAACAGATAATAGCTTTAAATAGCTTCAACAGAAATATTCTCTCTATCGACTGCTTTACATGAACAAAGCCACGAACAAACACATTAACAGGTACTAGCTCTGAACAGCTTCAACAAAAATGTTCTCTCTATCGAGTGTTTTACAACAACAAAGCCACGAACAAACACATTAAACAGATAATAGCTTTAAATAGCTTCAACAGAAATATTCTCTCTATCAACTGTTTTACAACAACAAAGCCACGAACAAACCCATTAAACAGATAATAGCTTTAAATAGCTTCAACAGAAATATTCTCTCTATCGACTGCTTTACATGAACAAAGCCACGAACAAACACATTAAACAGGTACTAGCTCTGAACAGCTCCAACAAAAATGTTCTCTCTATCGACTGCTTTACATGAACAAAGCCACGAACAAACAGGTACTAGCTCTGAACAGCTCCAACAAAAATGTTCTCTCTATCAACTGTTTTACATGAACAAAGCCACGAACAAACACATTAAACAGGAACTAGTTTCAAACAGCTTCAGTAGGAAATCCTTATTTGTATAAAAGTGTGATCATTTACCAGAATAGTTGTCAAAAGCTGTAGGTACGTATTCTGATGGATAACCGTTGGTGGTGTAGCTCACAACAAGGCTTGTCTTGCCAATAGCTCCGTCTCCAACCAGGACACACTTCACGTGGCACACGCAGTCCCCAGCATTATCTTGATCAGACAAAAGATTTGTATCTTGGTCCCGCGCTAGAGGAGGCATGGTGGACACAGGTCAACATTGAATACTTGAGATGTACTCAACTGCTCTCACCTCGGAGGCCTTCATTCAGCTGTCCTTTCCGGTTCCTTAACATTCAATTTAAAATGTTGTTTAATCACCTTACATAGAGCTCTTACTTTAACCTGTGCTCCCGTTACCACTTTATTATCCTAGTTGCGTTAGATTTGCAGGACATAACGTCCCTACGGTTCACAGCCAAACTGTTGAGTTGACGTCATGACGAGCAGCGATTGGATGCAATGCACGAGCAGCAGCAAGGTGAGCCTATACCTGAGAGCCTGACGCACTGATGACGTCATTGATGATGCTCGGGTTCGTTTTACCCTGCAGAATTGTTCAATAAGTAAGGCTATGTGATGTGCGGATTTCGTACGTTGTATATTTCCTGTAATTTTTAGTATTTAGATGATATTTTCCGTTTTTCTTTTAAAAAATGGAAAATTTGCAATGATTAGCTAAATAAGGATTATTTCCTAAAACAACTTAAAAAAGGAATTATCAAACATTTTATGGAATCTTTATTGTCGTTTTTGTTTGATGTAGCTATACGAACATGATTGGTTGAATAGTCTATAAGATAATACATAGTTCAAATCAGTTTGTTAAATACGACGTGATTGGTTGAAAAGTCTATTAAATCGTAAATATTTTAAATCAGATTATTAAACATAACGTGATTGGTCGAAGAATCTATTAAATCGTAAATAGCTCTCAGCCAATTTCTTATACAAAAAAATGATTGATTGAAAAGTATATTAAATCGCACATAGCTCTCAATCAAGTTGTTAAACGTGATTGGTTGAAGAGTCTTTTAAATCATATATTTATTTCTATCAGTTTGTTAATAAACAAAATGCGTTTGGTCGAAGAGTGAATTACACCATACGTAACTTTTAATCAGTTGGCTAGCATTCGTCTTACGCCCACAAACGAAGAAAAAAGTAATGTCTACCACTGAGACAACAGATGTGTAAACTTTTGGCCTCAGGCGATTAGTCTTAAACGGTTCAGGTCCTTTTATATTTATCTTCTGAAGATTATTTGCTACAAAAATATCTGAGCTTATATATATATGTGTGTGTGTGTGTGTGTTTAAAAAATTATGTTGTAATATTCCACATGTTTTTCTTCATTTTCATTGTTATTATTTTATTCTATATCAATCGAAAAGCTTTCTTATTGTTAAGCCTAAGGCTGCACAGTAGGCTATCTGCATTGTACCTACCGAAGAGCTCAAATTGTTAAGCCTAATGCTACACAATGGAATACTTGCGTAGTATTTACCGAAGGAATTGAATCCAAATTTTTATCGGACAACTGAGAAGTAAAATTATAATGCACGACTCACCATCTGAGGGTCGCGGGTTCGAATCCCCGTTCCACCAAACATACTCACCCCTTTTAGCCAAGGGGGCATTATAATATGACGGTCAATCCCACTATTCTTTGGTAAAAGAGTAACCCAAGAGTTGGCGGTGGGTGGTGGTGACTAGCTGCCTTCCCTCTCGTCTTTCATTGCTAAATTAGGGATGGTTAGTGCAGATAGCTCTCGTGTAGCTTTGCGCGAAATTCAAAAATAAACAAACAAAAATTATGATGTTTTCACTCTTTAAGAATATTATGACAGCCATTTTGAAATTTATGCGTAACTATAACCTACATGTTGAGTACTGGAAATCAACAAAAATATTGATTTATAGATGAAAAATATAAGCCCAATCGACTCTTGAAAAAATTAGTTGAGCTCAGGTGGTGATTAAGTATAAGGTAGAAAATGTAACTATTGCAAGTTGTCTGTCCTAACTAACATAACATAGAGGATAATTCTAGGAACTTATGAATAAAAGCAATGAAGAATATAAGGCTTAGTATAGCTGAGTGGGGGTATCATTTTCAAAACTAACGGTTTGTCTTATTAGTATGTGACTGAACCGAAGTGGAAAGTTTGTATATAATTTAGTGATTTATACTGATAATATATATATGTTTGTGTAATGTGAGTAAAACTATAAAGTTTGTATATAATTTAGTGGTTTATATTGATAATATATATGTTTGTGTAATGTGAGTAAAACTACTGGTCAACAGTTTCCATCAACACAAACAAGGAAATATACACTTTTTGGCTTGATATCTGGCGAAATTGCTACCATCTAGTGAATAAAAAGTTTACTATTTATTCACCAACAATTTATATACGTATTTACCATTTTCTACCAGTCAATTATTCTCCGCTTTCTTTTTCTTTTATAATGAAAATGTAAATTAATGTATTCTTTTTTTGCATTGTTTCTTTAAAGTTGATTTCATTAACAATACTGCTTAAAATGTTTAATATGTAAAAACATATCTATTTTTAATATATTTATTATAATTTATTGTTATGAGGATTATTTATCATTATTAGGTTAGTATATAGATTTAAGACTAACCCAAAGCTAGTGAAATATTATTGGGATTACGGCCGAAAATATCGATAACAAAATTGAATCAGTGCTTTCTAATCATTATAAGTACTTGTTTTATGAAATTGCATAGTTTTAGTTAGACCGGTATTTTAAATTAGCTACACTATTGACAAGGTTAGTTTTTAGTTCTGATC